CAAACGGTTCAGGTCAAAGTCCAATCCGTCACGCTTGGGCCTATATAAAGGGTCTTAACCCTCCATTTGAGGGAATGTTATGATGTGGAACCATGTCCACCTTGCAAGGTGGACACAATTCTATGTTTATAATTACTAAACTATATGTTCATAATTATAAAGCTATATATTCATAATTTTTGAACTTCATATTTATAATTTTTGAACTCTATATTCACAATTACAAAACTCTATATTCATAATTATAAAGTTATATATTCATAATTTTTAAACTTTATATTCACAATTATTGAATCTCTACATTCATAACTACATAACAATATGTTCATAACTCTATGTTCATAATTATAGAACTATATCTTCATAATTTTTTGAATTATATATTCATAATTATGAACAATATAATTTTGGAATCATGTTCACCTTGCCCCATTTGAGGGGGGAGGGTTTCTCTCCCTTTCCACTACACTCTCTTTTTATAGACTTAGAACATTCTCTACTCTCTCTACAAGAAGACATGAATAATAGTGAATAAAAGGGGTCTTTGAGTTAATATTCTACCATTTTCTACTCTTGATTCTACATACATACAATATACACATCAATACACGGGTCCATACCCCTTATCAATTACCAAGAATGTTGCCAGAAATTAAGAATATTCGAACTGTAAATAAACTCTTCTACTACTCCGCAAATTACGATCCACACAGTTATCTGGAACACGGTCCAAAATGATGTCGTTGAATTTTATGAGTTAAATAGAATAATGTACTTCATGTGTTAGAATAATGTATTTTATGTGTTAGAATAATGTATATTATGTGAGAATAATGAAACTTCTGGAATAATATAATGTACTTTATAAGTTAGAATAATGCACATTATACTTTAGAATAATATACATTATAATTTAGAGTTAATACCATATGAGGTCCTTCGAGTATAGTGGTTTTGCCACGTTTAGTCCTAAACTTTCAAATTGACCATATGTGGTCCTTCGACTTTCAAACTTAACCATTCGTGATCCAAGTTAACCACCCATGGTCCTTCAACTATTAAATTTTAACCAATCATTGTCCTTTCATGAGGACCAATACTGGTTAAATTTCGAAACTTGAAGGACCATGTGTGGTTAACTTGGACCACGAATGGTTAAATTTGAAAGTCGAAGGACCACAAATGGTCAATTTGAAAGTTTAGGACTAAACGTGGCAAAACCACTATACTCGGAGGATCTCAGATGGTATTATATAATTTATAAAAATGTATATTGCAGTACGTCGCGTAAAAAATAAAAATTATACAAAATGACGCCTTTTTTAAATGCATCGTGTATGTATTAGAATTGAGTGTCTATAACATATTGAAGAAGTGTGCTCATACAAGTTCGATAGCTACTCTTACAGTCTTACAATACTACCTTTTCTTATTTGTTTATTCTTCTTTTCCTATGTTGACCAACTCAGTAAAATATAAAAAGTCCGCGTTGCGCAATTTATAATCTTTATTATATTCAATACATAAAAAAGAAATTTTTTTTATTTGAAAAAGAAATAATTTAATTCATATTAAATTTAATAAAAATAAGAAAAATAGCGAAACGGACATATGATAGTAATTGTGTGGGTTGTAAAGAGAGTGTTCTTTTTGTTTCTGGGCATGCAAAATACAAGAGAGAAAAGAGATTTGGCTGGTTGAGACTTTGATAAAGGGCAGGGAAGACATCCCCTAATGGTGGCCAGCTTTTCTTTATTAGCTCTTCTTTCTATCTTGTGACTGTTCTGTCCATAAAGCTAACAAGAAAGAGTGGGAAAGTAGATTAATCATACTCACTTCTCTTTCACTTCTTTTTTTTCTTTTAACAGAAAGGGAAGGGCAAAGCCCCGAGAGAAAAAAGCAAAAATAGTCTCAACGGACATAAGAAGTTCCGATACAATCCTTGTGAGCGCACGTTGCAAGACCGGGGTTCAGTCTCTTTCACTTCTTAGAAAATAGTATTTGCTTAATAATTGTCCGCAAGGGCTTAACTCACTGATTCAGTAGATAGTATTTGATAGAAGAGATCAAGTATCAAATCTCTATAGTCATTGAGGGCAAATTATATTATGCACCGCGTACTTTTTGCAAAAGGGTGCGAAACGGCGGAAATGAACACTGTTAATTTTCATTTAAAAAAAAAAAGACGCGCGGTGCATAATCGATTATTCAGTGTCATTTTGTATACACTGCAGTTTCAGTTGAACACAACTACAGTTTCATTTCGATATAACTATAGTTTCATTCGATATTTATAAACTCAAATATGTGAAAATGTTATTTAATTTTATTTTATATACACTATAGTTTCATTAAAACACAACTACATGATCATTTTGATATAATTACAGCTTCATTGTACAATATATACTCAAATATGTGAAATGTTATTCAGTTTCAGTTTATATACACTGCAGTTTCATTTCACTATAACTACAGTATCATTTTGATATAACTGCAGTGTCAGTTTGGATATACTGTAGTGTCAGTTGGTGTTTAATACACCAAACAAACGAACTCCGTTAACTCTAACGGCGGACCGTTTCTTTAAGAAACGGCGTCGTTTTTGACCGCGGTGCACATGCACCGCGGTTTATAATATAACGACTGGTCATTGAGTCACTGTTGTTGGTTTTAGCACTTTTAGGAAGCCCACGGGGGTCAAACATAACCGAAAGATTGGTGAATTCACCAAAAAATAATGTAGAAAACTAAAGAACAAGGGTGCTAAAAGCTTTTTGATAAAGATGAAAAAGTAGCTTTTTTTTACGATCTTTTTTTCTTACAATGCCTCTCAGGGCCTTATTTATTAAATTTGAGAATCGTCAAAGCCCATTAGTGAAATGGGTGGCCTAAAAATCATTGCCCAATTTGAGAATCGTCACACCAAAATTTATTAAATTATTAGGCAATCAATTTGTAACTAAATTAACCTGTGTTGAGAAACCCGAAAAATGATTTCTGAAAATCATTTTTCGGGTTTTTAGTGTTTGGCAACACTTGAAAAATTCAGTCAACGGAAAACATTTTTCGTTCACTGGGAAAAATGTGTTCATTTCGGCAGAAAATGACTTCCGCCAAAAGTTGGCGGAAGTCATTTTTCACTATTGCTGTTTAATTTTCATTTTTTATTTTTTAAAGGTTTCTGGCAAAACTGGGTTCCGCCAGAAACCATAACTATGGTCCGACGAAAACCAGTTCCGCTAGAAACCATGTTTCAGAAAATGAACCAAGCACACCGAAACAGTTTTCCAATAAAATGCAACCAAACACTGAAAAATAAAAATATTTTCCGAAAAATGACTCATTTTTCAGAAGTCATTTTCCTACTTTCCTAACGGACCCTTAGTCATAGAATAACATCACTTAAATGTTATGTTGTATAGCTTTCCTCCTTAAAGTTATGATCTCTCTTAGTAGATTAATAGAGCATTTGTATTTGATTCATGTAATTTGTTATATTAGACTTGCTCATCAGTTTGTAATATACGTTATTTTTGACATATTTAGCTGAAAAGTTAACTAAAAATTAAAAATTAAAAAGCTACTAATAAGTTAACTGATTGAAATTAAATTGTTAGATAAATTTAATTGTTGAATAACAATAACTTGATAAGTGTAAAAGACAAAAAATAAATAAATATTAAAATTTTGATTAATGAAGAATAGAGAGTGTCATTCTTTATAAGTTATAATAATCAGTTAATATTTAAAAAATAAAAATAAAAAGCCAATAGATTAAAATGCTACTTGAGGTACCGCTTTAAAATAAGCTATTATTTTAAAATTTCATGTTTTATCAATGTTGTAAAAGGTGATAGGCACCCGGGAAGCCCCTAGTGACTGGATAGGTGAGTAATAATAATAAGTAAAACAAAGCAGAATACACATTGCACACCCAAATGAAAAATCCGGTCAAATTGGTTGACTCAAGCATTTGACTGCCTAGTCAGCTGACTAATCCACCGACGACTAATGTTTGCCTAAGGGTAAAATTCTCTCAGCCTAGGAGTGCCTAGCACCTCATCAGAGCCCAGACAGCCGCCTAAATTAATTTTTACAATAATGTGTTTTATCAAATACAGAGCATAATTTATAGTTTATTTATAATTTAAAATAAGCTATAAGCTCTAAAATAATATCAGTATATTGCATATGATTATAGATATGAAGGAAAAAAAAAAAAAAAAAAAACCTAATCCCTTATTTTTATAAATCCACATATAAAGCTGCTTGGAAATTTGGACATGCTCTATTACCAATCGTTATACCCTGCACCACGGCGCACAGTGCACTGTGCGTCCCGCGCATCCCAAAACGACGTCGTTTTGGGAGGCGCAGTAGGAAATTTACATGATTATGTATATTTTTTATACAATTATGTATATTTTTTTATACAATTATGTACATTATTTTTATACAATTATGTACATCCGAATCAAAAAAAATTTATGTACTATGTTAAGAGTTGATGTGTATTATGTTAAAAGTTTATGTTTATTATGTATTATGTTAGATTATGTGTATTATCTTTTAAAAAAGAGTATGTGTATTTTGTTATATAATTATGTACATTCATGTATACAATTATGTGTATTCTAATATAACATTATGTACATTTTTGAACATGAGATTTTATTTTAAGGAAAATTAACTGCCAAACACTGGGTAGCGAAATTTTAAAACAAAAAATAAAAAATAAAATTGAAACGACGTTGTTTTGCATCTGGGCGCACAATGTAACGCGTGCCGTGGTGCAGGATATAAATTGCACGTACCCATTATTTTAAAGGAGGGGGTACAACAACCTCAACTCCTAATCCCTAGACCTTACATTCTCACTTTATGACATGAATGAAAATTGGGAAAAATATATATATAAATGGAGGACTCCTCCCTTTCTCAATCTTAAACAGCCATGAAAGAAATGCAGAAGCATCTGTGTTCCTTCCATGTATCAGTTGGCAGAACAGTGTCCATATGAAAAGCTTTTATTCATCAACTGTCATTGCAACTTTGTAGAGTTTGTTTAATGCCTTATACTGTACTGACAGTCCATTATTTGTGGCCTACTTACATTCTATGATCAATTTTGTGCCATGTCCAAACACAAACATGGATCAGAATCGACAAGAAAATTCGCAAACTGTACGTTTTTCTAGTTAATAATCTGTCACAGAGAATATTGGAACTAACCTCTTTGCTTCTTGGAGTCTTTCAGCCTCAGTAGAGTCCAAGAACCTTCCACCAACCAGCTCCAATTAACACCCACAACGTTATATTAATCACAGCCATTATAATTCCCAACTTGAAGGCATCGCGCAGTTCTACAAAGCCACCTGAGAAATAAAAGCGCCACTAAATCCCAGCCTTAATGATATTATAAAGAATACAAGTTCTTCGCGGTTCTAACATAGAAATGCTACCATACCTCCATAATAAACAGCAGCCTGGCCACTGCTATAGTGAGTCAAAGCGCCATTAAGGTTTGTGTTGTAGGCCAAAGCCAAAGCAGCGATAAAGCCGGGAACTTTGGATGCCAAGTGCATCCCAAGAAACGCGGAGTACAATGCTGCAACGTGAGCCGTCTGTCCCGCAAACAAGTAGTGGATAAAGAAATACGCAGCTTGAAGGATAACGAAGCCCCAGAACGAGCTTATTGAGTGAGACTTGAGGAAACCGGCCACAACATCAGACATCCATTTGATCACTCCAAGAGCAGTTAATTGAGTCGCCATCCCGATTAAAACCCCAAACCAAGTTAAGGTATCCCACGCTGACTTTTCGCTTAAGCAATCATCCCAGTCCAAAACTCCACACAGCATAAGCAAAGTTAAGCCTAGCATCGCTGTCACAACACTTGCTATCCCAATACTATCTCTGCACAAAAACCCAACATTTTATTGTTATCACTATGATACAATAAGAGAATGATAAGCAAAAGTATCTAATCTAATCTAAAAGATTATAAATGACAAACAGAGTACGCTGCTAAGGAAACGAACATGAACACGAAACATAGATTAGTGGATTAGCCTAAATTCGACGAATTGTGTAAGAGCAGATCCATCATAATGGCTCGAAGGTGTTCCACCACAGACATACACACAATAATAATGTTTTATACCAAATTTGACAGTCAGAACTTATCAAGAATCATCAGATAACATGTGCATTAGAAGAAATGACAAATTAAAGGTTGAGATTAGATTACCCAGTTATCCATAGTGCAACCATTATAAGCATAGTTCCAACCATAATCCACTCTTCGAATTTCATACGCCCCATTTCTTTCATTCTCCTTCGAGCCATTTCTGGGGCATCTGGCGTCTTCTTCATTTCAGGAGGGAATATCTTGTATACAATAATCGGAGTTGCTAGAAGAGCAACGAGTGCTGGGAAACAGGAAGCCTTTAGCCAAGTAACCCATCTGCTTGAAATCTTAACACCAAGCCCTTCTGCTAATTTGATGCACAATAGGTTCTGAGCTGCAGCAGTCAGGAAAAGGGCACTTGAGTTACTGGAAGCCTATACCATGCATCAAAAAACGAAATCCATTAATGATAATAAGGGCATTTTTGTTTCTGAGAATTAATGAAAAAAATTGCTACTTTTTTTTCTACACCCGAAGCTAAAGCTACCATTTTATTGAAGATTCATGGATTTGTTCTGAGAAATTGCACACTAATTCTAATTAACCTGCAACTGAGACTGGACGAGATAGGCTCCGAGCTTCCTGGAAGATTGGTCCTTAGGATGACTATCGGCGGTGGAGGCTAACGATTTAATAATGGGCAAGAAAATCCCACCGGCCCGAGCGGTTGTGCTGGGCATAGCAGGAGAAATGATGGCCTCGCTCAAAACCAAGCCGTAAGACAAACCCAGAGTGCTCTTCCCGAGAAACCGGACAAACAGCATGGCAAGCCTATCCCCTAGCCCCGTCTTGATGAACCCCCTGGAGAAGAAGAAGGAGGAGACGATGAGCCAAATGACCTCATTGGTGAAGGCGGAGAAGGCGGCGGAGAAGGTGAGAGTTTTGGTGAGGACAGCGAGGGTGAGGCAAGCGAAAGCCCAACCCCCCACCGGGAGCGGGGTAAGGATGAGGCCGGAGATGGTGGTGAGGAAGAGGGCGAGGAGTTGCCACCCTTTAGTTGGGACACTGTCAGGCTTGGGCACGGCAAAGCGAAAGATGAGTCCTATGGAGATTGATATTGCAAGAGGAATGAGCCTCACGCCTTTCCAGGGAAGAACCGAGAATGTACGGCGGCGAGTGGTGGCGGTGGCAGTTTCTGGAATGATTGGCATCACTACTGCTTGTTCAGATTTGAGATTGAGGGCGGCGCCGTGGCGGGGGAAGATCTGGGCTGGCCAGTGATGATGAGTGTCCTATATGGATTTGGTGGGAAATCAAAAATGAATGGTGGGGTCAAAGCGGGTCCACCCCCGCATAATGGTATAAGCTTATGAAGAAAAATTGCCGCGTACAGAAAAGGAAGGAAAAGAAGAAAGACGGTTACCTTTCTTTTTTTAATGGAATAATGGTCAAATATGTTATTCAAGTATACACGTTACAATTGGATCATCAAATTCAAAAAAATTACAGTTAAATCTTCAAATGATGGCATTCAAAAAAAAAAAAAAAAATCTTCAAATGATGCAATTTAATCTAAAACGATTTAACAACATATTTCGATTACTGGATTTTAAAATATCTTTGTAAATTTTATTTTAGTAAATTTAAATTAAATAATTATTTAAAATTTAAAACATTAAAAAAGGGTTTTTTAATGTTTATTTTAAAATTTTTAAATAATTATTTAATTTAAATTTATTAAAATAAAATTAAAAATATATTTTAAAATTTGGTAACCATCACGTCAACACATTACTAGGTCAATATATCATTTTACGTTGAATTATATTATTTTGCATAATTTGGAAACTTAATTGTAATTTTTCGAGTTCGATGGTCCAATTACAGTTTCTTGTGTAATTTGATGACTTATTTGACCCTTATTCTTTTTTGACAAAAACTTGTGTGGGATCCGTGAGACGGGTCAGATCTTTGATTAATGAGGTTTAAATCCGACCCATTAATCAAAGATTTGATTCATTAATTAAATATCTGACATGTCTCACGGATTGAGACTAGGGTCTCACACAAGTATTACCCTTCTTCTTCTTTTTTTTTTTTTTTTGGAGAGTTACCCTATTTTTTTAATTACTACCTAATCATACTAATGGTTAAAATCTTTTTGACTTTTTGTAAACGAAAACATAAAGAGTTTCATAACTTTTTATGTAAGAGAGCTACTTCGCGCCATTAATCAGATTTATTTACCTCCTTGAATAAAAGAAAAAGAAAAGATTGTTCGCTTGTTGCTAGTCAGCCAAGGAAGAAAAGTTAGGGTCACACGAAAATATTATTTTAATAGAGATTAAAAATAAAAGACACTAGTCATGGAGTACATTGTTGCTATAATTATTCCTTGGAATCTTAATTAAGGAATAATAATTATTCAGAGAATCTTTATTAATACGCCGTATTTTTAGTCAAATTAGTAAATAGTTATTAAGAATCTTTTTTTTTTTTTTTTTGAGAAAGAAGTTATTAAGAATCTTAATTGATACTTCATATTTTTATTCAAACTAGAAAAAGATTAATATTATTTCCTCAGTCAAAATCAATACCTACCAAAGTTTAGCATTTGTGCACGGATCAAATTATAACTCCAAAACTTTTTACCAAAATCTTTCAAGGATGAAAATAGTTTTATTTTCATGACCAATAATGAAGAATTTTCACAGAAAAAGAAAAAAATATATATCTTGAAAACTTTATCCATTTATGTATACATACACATATCATTTTGCATATATTTAGAATTCAAACTTATATACTCTTTGCATATAAACGCGGAAATTCTACAAAATTAATTTATGAAAAAGATAAACATATAAAATAAGAATCTTATTTTATAAAAGAAATATATTATTCTCCTTTTCAAGGCTTTTACACCCCTTGTGCGCAAAAGACAATATTTATTTTATACGATTCAAACTCTTTTAAAAAAAGAATTATATATATATTTAGTGCAAATCTACACCTATTTTTCAAAATAGGACAAATGCTCCTTACGAGTTTTTTCAACTCCAATAATTACACAGTGAGAATCAAATTTTTGTTCACACATTATCAATTTTGTACATATAATAAATCAAGTTAAAATTCTCACTTAGAAGAATTTCGTATCCATTTTGACTTGACTCGAATTGTAAGTGAACCCACAGAAATTTATACTACAAAATAATAAATGTTATTTTAAATCAAAATTTCCAACAATTGATATATAAAATGCTAATTTCAACTTTCCTAAAATAATAGTAGTTCAAATTATATTTACGAACAGAAGACACTCCACAAGCTGTATATAGTTTATTGACGAATATTAATATGGAGTAAATATATACTCCGTAATAATTTAAGAAAGTTAGGCCAAACGTTACAGTTGTTACATAGTACTGACAATAATAGTTTTGTCGTTTTTGGGAAGATCAAACAAATGAGAATTAATGATTACTATTATTGTTACCGGCCTCTCCCAAAATCCTTCGAAATCTCACCTTTCATTTCCATAACTTTTGCCAGTTTTGTCTTGAGTCTCATTGTTAATTTATCATATTATAACTTACAAATACTCATATACCACCCCACCCCCCCCCAAAAAAAAAAAAAAAAAAAGTACCCATATATCCGATATTATCAAATTTGGATTAGGCCGGCCTACAAATATTACACCATCAGGATGCTTGTAATTGAATTCAAAATGGCTTCAATACTTGCATTCAGTTTGAATGGTTAAGGTCAGGGACGGAGCCAAAAATTCTGTTGAAGGGAGGTAAAATAGGGACAGATTCATAAATTTGACGAAACATTAAAATAAAAGAGATATTTAATAAATAAATAAATAAATTATCTATGAAATATATATATGTAAATATTATTGGATATGGTCGAAAAATAAAATATATCAAAACTTTATAAAAACATTCATAACAAAATATGAAACATAATTAATTTGAATATATATGTGTGTGTATTAAATATTAAAAAAACTATTAAAACGTGACTGTGCTAAAACTATAGAGAAGGAGCCAAAAAAAAAAAAAAAAAAAAAAACTGTAAAATTATATTGGCAACCAAAGGAATTAAACCCCTAACCTTTAATATAACTAAATACACACTCTACCAACTAATCTAACTCATTTCTTATTATTAATCAACAATTTTTATATACTAATAGTCAAACATGTACTATATATACATATATACGTACACAGATTATATATGGGGTGGGGAGGGTGGGGTGAGGTAAGGGGGCAGCTGACCCCCTTGCCCGCCTTTGGCTCCGTCCATGGTTAAGGTATATATCTTATAAATTGTATACTATTTGTACATTTATAAGATTATATTTTAACTTTATAAACTAAAAACTTGTAATTTTATAAATTAAAATTAATACAATTTACCATGAATAAATTTAAATTTGTACTTTAGGATTCTTATAATTGACCAGTATAAATGTATGATACTCTATAAGAGGTCTTGAGATGAATCTTTTGATACAAATTATATTATAGACCCAAGTATATAAAAATAATATTGTAGATACATAAAAAATTAATTATATAATAGTACTGTAGGTCAATAAAAACGACATCAATTGATTAATTATCACTTAAATAATTATTCTTTATTTATTTTTTCATAAATAATAGTAATATATAAAAAATCTTGTTAAGTATCATTTTGAAATATTTTAAATGACATCTATATTGATATTTTTTTTTTCAATATATCATTTTAATAATTTGTGATAAACTTGCAATACTGATTTTATGAACCAACAATAATGTAATGATTTTTTTTAATACTATTGACTCTATTACATTGTAGTATCTGTTCAAACATATTTTCTTAACCAACTGAATCACAATGAATGTCCACAACTGTGCCGCTCAACCACAAGGCCTTTGTCAATAATGTAATGATTTATGTACCTAAAATAATGACTTAGTGTACATATAAATTTGTTAATATTACAGGAGTATTAAAAAAATTAGTGGCCAAGCACCTTGTGCACAGATGACACCCGTGTTGGACTCTCATATAGTAGATTGTGAGTTCGAGCCTCAGTCGAGGCGTTATTGACTCGTTGTGCTCCAGTAGGTTGAGAAAGTAGTTATAAAGAATTACTACATTGTAATAGATACTCTAACACATATTAGCCTCTTCAAATTATCACAAGATGTATCACCTTCTTGACAACGGCAAATTATGTTGTGCATTTATATGGTGCACACGGATGCAAAAACGGCGCCGTTTTACTTGAAAAAAAAAATTATTTTTGATTGCCGTTAGTTACGTAAATATATGTTCATAATTTTATAATTTCACATTCTAAATATATAGTTATGAAATTATGGATGTGTAGTTATGCAATTCTGAATGTAAAGTTATGAAGTTATGGATGTGTAGTTATGCATGCAATTCTAAATGTATAGTTATGAATTTATAATTTCACATTTTGAATGTATAGTTATGAAGTTATGGATGTGTAGTTATGCAATTCTGAATGTATAGTTATGAAGTTATGGATGTGTAGTTATGCAATTCTAAATGTATAGTTATGAAGTTATGGATGTATAGTTCAAATTATACACAACATAACGTCGTTAACAGCAATCAAAACTATTTTTTTTTTAAAGTTAGATGTCAAAATGATGCCGTTTTTACAATCGTATGCAATATACATGATGCACACGGTTGCACAGCATAACGACTCCTTGACAACGGCAGCCACTTTCTCTAGTACGAAGTGGCACTCATTATTGTAGTTTGCACTAATCTAATAAAAGTCAAATGTCACTTTGGAGGCCCACTACAAAGAATTTGGATAAAATCTACAGATAATTGATGAAACACTTTTTTTTTTTCAATACATTATAAGGTTTCACATGTTACGCTATATTAATTTTAAAATAGTCATTTTATATGTTTTTTTAGGAAAGAAGAGAAAGAAAATATCAAATTACATCGCAGACAACGGTCCATCAAGCAATATGGGCCCTAGTCCAAAACAATGTCATTTATAATACGTAAATTATGTCCTGGAAACGTATTTACTGTGAATGGTGAACACAAGTCCAAACGACGTCGTTTTTACGCAAAAAAAAATAAAAATAAAAATAATCGCGGATGTGGAGTTAACCGCGCGTGTTTGATCAAATTATGAATTTTCTGTTATGAGATTATGAATGTAATGTAAATTCATAATCTCATAACAGAAAATTCATAATCGCATAAAAGTAAAATATTT